ATATATATATAATGAGAGATGAAGACACGTTTTAACTGGAATAAACCATCCACAAGCAGCAGCTTTCTTTCCATCCCTCCAGGTAAGGCCTCCAAACCACTGAAATAAAGTACACTTAATTAATGGCAGATATAATGTGACACGTAACTAAAACCAGATTAGCCAAACCACATGATCAAAAATTATCCAGCAGCAATTGGGTTGTTTTGACCCAGCGGTTGGGTTACTACCCAGAAGGTTGGGTTAAACATTTAACCCAACCGCTGGGTCAAAACAACCCAATTGCTGGGTTTGTCCCTATTTTACCCAGCACTGGGCTGTATTTAACCCAGCATTTTTTAGAGTGTATATTCCCAAATTATATCTCTATAACTATGGATATTTGAGGCTTTTCTAGACATTTGAAAGTTTCTACACACTTGGATGGACAATTGTAAAGGCAATGATTCACATTGAGTCTTTTGACAAAGTCTATATCGCTCAGCAAACAAAAAGCATTGAGAATAAAGATGAACATTTCCTTACTTTCAACACAATACAGTACAAGGATGTGATAAATGAAAGGATATGATAAATGTTCTTCTGCACAAGTCAGTTAAAATGCAGTTTCTTTCCCTTTTTCAACAATAAAAACAGTCTTGTGAGTGTTCAGAATCCATTACAAACCACAGAACAGGCATAAAATAAATTACATGACTTTTAAACAAATTAATAAATAAAGTGCCGTCATGAACTGTAAATGCTAAAAATAACTTGACCGGAAATCTGTTCTATGACAAGACATAGAAACTACTGTATATCATTTCGGATACATGTATAACAATTTTTTATTTTACATTTTTACACATTATCTTTAAATATTGCTACAGTACAATGTTTTGGGAAAATAAAATCCACATTGTGGAAAACCAAAAGGAAAATTGTTTATATTTGACCAATTCCTTAAGATTATTTTGACTTAACGAATTCTGCATCCCTGACACAAATGGAGTTTCATTTTCCTAAAATGTCTAAATAAATAAATGCTTTATAGTCATAAAGAAAATGAAAAGAAAAATAGGCATCACTTTTTACATGAATTCTGAAGGTCATGGTTACATCCATGTTTAGCACTTCATTTAACAAAGGGCTACGGGCCAACTAGACAAGTGATGCATTCTAACATACATTCACCAATAACATCAAATCAACATTAACACTGACGCAAGAGGCATTTAAGAGAATATTCTGTGGAAGCATGTCTCTGTATTTCTCTCTCATCATTTCTTTAATTGTAGCATGGAAGGACTTCACAATAAGGGTTAATTCTCTAACATTAGTTTTAGGCATCATAAACTAATAATGAACAACAGTTCTTACAGCATTATTAATCTAAGTTAATGTTAATTCATACATTTATTAGCATAGTTAAGTTTCACAATTGTTCATAATTAATGTTAATTTCTATTACTCGAAACGTTTGAGGTCAGTAAGATTTTATGTTTTTGAAAGGCAGGGATTCTGCAGGTATCAAATCGAATTTAATGCTTTTTAATGCCATTTATACATTTCTTTAATGCCATACATATGACACACACTCCCGGTCAAAGGTTTTTAATGTTTTTGAAACAAGTCTCTTCTGCTCAAGGCTGCAGTAATAGTAATATTGATAAATATTATTTCAATTTAAAATAACTGTTTTCTATTTTAATATATTTAAAAATGTAATTTATTACTGTGATCAAAGCTGAATTTTCAGCATCATTACTCCAGTCTTCAGTGTCACATGATCCTTCAGAAATCATTTTAATATGCTGATTTGCTGCTCTGTAATGATCAATTATTATTGATGTTCAATTATTAATAATGGTTCTTATTATTATCAATATTGAAAAAAAAAAATTCTGCTTCATATTTTTGTGGAAACAGTGATACATTTTACTTTTCAGGATTCTTTGATGAACAGAAAGTTCAAAATAACAGCATTTGTTTGAAAGAAAATCTTTTGTAACATTGTAAATGTCTTTCCTGACACTTTTGATCAATTTAATTTGTTCTTGTTGAATAAAAGTATTTATATAAAAAAAACCGTCTTTTTTTAATGATACTTTTGAAACAGTTGTTATAAATTGAAATAATATTTCTGAATATTCATGTTTTTATTTGAATGGTAATATATTATATGTTAAAAACAGTTGTTATAAATTGAAATAATATTTCAGAATATTCATGTTTTTATTGTATTTTTGATCAAATAAATGCAGCCTTAGTAAGCATGAGAGACTTCTTTTTGAAAACATTTTAAAAAATCTTAATGATCCCATACTTTTGACCATTTATATGGATATTTGAGAAAATCTACATAATGTCAAATGTCAAAATACATTTGCAGATATTTCAAAATTGATTTAACAAAGTACCAATAGATGTTGAATGCTAGACATGCTGAAAAATCAGGCCATGACTGGAAAAAGTTTAGTTTTTTTAAATAATTTGTAACACAAATATGAAAGGTTGGGGAAAAATGCAATGAGACTTTTAAATAGGAGAGTAAATCACCAGTAGGTGGCGGCAAGTGACTGTTAATAAGTGAGCGTTTGAGTCAATGATTCAGTGGTCCATTCATAAAGACAGGCACTTGCTTCATTCTTGAATGAATCAGCCGTCTGAATGAATCGGTTGAACTAATGACTCAAATGCTCACTTATTAACAGTCACTTGCCGCCACCTACTGGTGATTTACTCTCCTATTTAAAAGTCTCATTGCATTTTTCCCCAACCTTTCATATTTGTGTACCCGTACCCGTACCCGAGATCGTCTGACCCGACCCGACCCGAGCGCACAGTTAAATTTAGAGCCCGAACCCGAAATCTTCTTCTTTTTTTCCCCCCACAACGAATAGCCAATAAAAAAAAATGCTGTATTTCACGATTGCATGCAATGGTCAGTAAACAAATACATGTAAAGAAACAGAATCATTAAGGCTCGGCCAGTTCACAAGGCA